ATTCTGACTGAATCAGTAATGTAACAAAGTAGCTATACTGATTGAATCTGCAATGTAAAAAGTAGCTATTCTGACTGAATCAGTAATGTAACAAAGTAGCTATACTGATTGAATCTGCAATGTAAAAAGTAGCTATACTTACTGAATCAGTAATGTATAAAAGTAGCTGTACTGACTGAATCAGTAATGTAAAAAGTAGCTATACTGACTGAATCAGTAATGTAAAAAAGTAGCTATACTGACTGAATCTGTAATGTAAAAAAGTAGCTATACATAACTGAATCTTTCATGTCAAAAAAGTAGCTATACTGATTGAATCTGCAATGTAAAAAGTAGCTATACTGACTGAATCTGTGATGTAAAAAAGTAGCTATACTAACTGAATCTGTAATGTAAAAAGTAGCTATATATTAATGAATCTATAATGTAAAAAAGTACCTATACTGACTGAATCAGTGATATAAAAAGTACCATACTGACTGAATCAGTAATGTAAAAAAGTAGCTATACTGAATGAATCTAAAATGCAAAAAAATAGCTATACTAAATGAATCTATAACTTAAAAAAAAAGTAACTAAACCAATTGAGTCTATAATATAAAAAATGTAGCTAAACCTATTGAATCTATTATATATAAAAAAGTAGCTAAACTTATTGAATCTATAATATAAAAAAGTAGCTAAACCAACTGAATCTGTGACATAAAAGAAAAGTAGCTAAACTTATTGAATCTATAATATAAAAAAGTAGCTAAACCAACTGAATATGTGACATAAAAGAAAAGTAGCTATACTGAATGAATCTATAATGTAAAAGATATAGTTATATAGTGAGTTATGCCATCTATTTTATGGCCTGTGTTCATGCTTTCTTTATGAAACTGGCACTTAGCCAGTTTTTCTTTAGTTTCTATGTTTTAGTTAGTAATATGTTCATATCCTTTTTTGTTCAAATCTAATCAGCTACCCACAGAGAACTGATGGACTTGTCTTTTGACTCTTGTGATAGAGCTGTAGTAAACATAACTAATGCATATTTATGTCATAATCAACCTAAGTTATGCTTCTTACTACAATAGTATGTCCATTTACAAATGTTTAACCATTACAGTGGTTTAATGATTCCTTCTTAAAATCCAAGTAATGGCAGAGAGAAAGGTTTAGTATGTTTAGGACTATATAGATAGTAGAACAGAGCAAAATATTTGAGTTCAAGTGGTTTTTAACTTTTGTACATGCATTAACAAATTACATCTGTCAGTACAAACAAACTGAAACATTTTGAGGAACGTGGGAATAAAAATGGTTAGGTTTTACTTGAAAACACATATTTTGAATTTAAAATACCAAAACATTTCAAATATAAATCTTTACTTACAATTATGTTATAACAGGTAGTGAAACTCCTTCTAAATAGAGCCTGATTTCATAATAGAACCTTAGTGATGCTCCTGAATAGAATCTTAGAGACATTTTAGACAAGTAGTGATGCTCCCTCTGAATAGAACCTTGGAGACATTTTAGACAAGTAGTGATGCTCCCTCTGAATAGAATGTTAGAGACATTTTAGACAAGTAGTGATGCTCCCTCTGAATAGAACCTTAGAGACATTTTAGACAAGTAGTGATGCTCCCTCTGAATAGAACCTTAGAGACATTTTAGACAAGTAGTGATGCTCCCTCTGAATAGAACCTTAGAGACATTTTAGACAAGTAGTGATGCTCCCTCTGAATAGAACCTTAGAGACATTTTAGACAAGTAGTGATGCTCCCTCTGAATAGAAACTTTGAGACATTTTAAATAGAATCATAAACATGTTTTTGACAGATGGTGATACTCCTGAAGAAAACCTTAGACATGTTTTAGACAAGTAAGTACTGATACTCCATCTGAATAGAACCTAAGGGATATTTCTGACAAGTAGTGATACTCCATCTGAATAAAACCTTAGGAAAAGGTTTATTATTATTTTTTTTGTATTATGGGTGACTGTATGAATGTTATGATGTGTATCTCAAAATGTTGCATTATCTTATATTTCTAACGTTTTGATTTTATTTGGCTTTTATTATAACTGTGCTTTTAATTACCTGCAATCATTTATGAAGGAAACAAAAATATCATTATGCTCAATAATTTTTGCACATACAAATGTTATAATTGTATTTGAGGTTATGTGTCTTTCTCGCTTCAGTTTAGCAGTCTATTCAAAATGAAAGTTTTTTCTATCAGCTGATTTTTTAATTTTACCCTATTTTCTCTTTTAAGGAAATTAAAACAATGATAATGATTAGAAATATAAATTGTGTTAATTTCTGCATTTATTTTGAATCTAAATTCAGTTTAAATGCCTTTTAATTATACATTTAAATTTTTTTAATGCATAAGGTAGCATAGTTAATTATTGCTTTTACAGATCATTAAATTATATTTTATGCTCTGAAAGAACACATTTTCATTAAATCTCCACACTATCATTTACAAGATCATATATTGATCAGTTTTATGTATTAAATATTTAGTCCAGCTTTAGCAGTACAGGTTAGATGTAAAGATGTCAAGATGTTTTGCTCCTAAATATACACCTGGAAAAAAGTTAAGCACCCCCGTGTTTTTTTCAAGTGATTCAGATTCGACGTTCTTG